ATGTTTTTTTCCAATGAAATAAAAAAAATTACAAATTGATTGTATGAGTTGTTATAACCATCACAATTATAACATTGTAGAAAACAAACTTTATCTATTTTCAATGATCATCAAATAGAATTTTTTTTTATTTTTTAAAGAAAAATAACATGCTCTGCTGCAGAATAATGTTAAGCTATAACATATTTATTGTACTTAAATTTAAAATTAAACTGAAAATAAGAAGAAAAAATGCTGCTAAAGAAAAATCAACAAAGAAAAGTAGTTTAGTAAAGAAGTTTTCCTCACCAAGTATTCATCCTTGGGGTCAAAGGAGACACTGAGGATGGGGGCTTCATGGCCTCGCAGCGTTTTCTGCCGACTGCTGTCTGACACCTCCACCACCTTCACCATGAAATCACTGAAGGAAACACAGCAATAAAACAAGCAGCTTTAGTGCTAATGTTCATGACGTCACTAAATCCCACAGAAAGAAAAACACAGGAACACAGAAACAACAGGACGGATGAAAAGGAAAATTATCCCGACCTCCTCTAGTGACACGAGAAGGTAAAGAATCAATAACAAAACAGCTTCATTAGTTTGAAAGTAGCAAAAATCAATGCAGCTTCATGTTCTGAGCTTTTATTGTTGCGATGAAGCTGCCGAGTTAATTAATTCACAAAGCAAACACACATCCGGCTTCACTCTTCACTAATCTTCACTAAGAGGGAGGGTTCAGCTGCAGGATTCATACAGAATATGAACACATGGCTGCACCAGAACAGACATGGGTGGCTTCACAAAGTAAAAGCGACATGTGGAAACATCTCTGGAACATCAGCTGCATGTGTTCAGTCAGCTGGACGTCCTGGTAGTGATACTTCCACCATCTGATCCACAAGTTAAAAGGACATTTTTAGAGAAGTTTTTTTTTTTTTTTTTATTCGATATACAGGATAGAAAACAAAAAAGTAAGAAAAAGTATTGCATTCTCATTTTCATTTTTTATTGAAGCTCAATGTTTGCAGAGAGGTTAAAAATAATAAAGATTTGAAAAAAAAAAAATGTGTTTTTATAATGTGAAAAACATCCCCATCATGGAACATAGTGGTGGGTGAGTCATGCAACTGTCCTCTGATGGGACTTTTTTTTTATCTAGAGGATGAAATTATTACTGCTTCAACAGATCAGTCAGCTTTCTACAGGAAACCTCCAGAGGTGCGTCATAGCAAGTCAGCACACTTTCAAACCAGTTAAGAAATGTATTTTGTTTGGTTGCTTTTTTTCCCCCCATTCTATCTAACCAGAGCAAAAAAAAAAACAAAAAAAAAAAAAAAAATTAACTTCACCAGAGAATAAATATATGGGGTAGCAGGAAGATACCTGTAGCCAGTGGATGTCCTTACATCCTGGGCTACAGAACTTTAGCAGCATAAGGTGGATTTAGCGATTTGTGATATGGTTGAAAAATGTATCCATTAAGAAAAAAAAAAAAAGAAAAGAGTTTAATCCCTTTTAAACATAACCGTTAACCTTTAAGTCTGTCAGCCATGCTGAAAACTTTGCATAGTTTGGCTGTGAGAGGCATCCAACATCCGCCATAGTACCAGATGGTTCTGGATCAGAGTTCAGTGGAATTATTGAAAATTTGATCCAACGTATTATCTATTGGTATTTCCTATTAATCAGGTATCTATAGTGATATTGATTTATTGCCCAACACTGGGTAAATTCCAATCAGACTGAATAAACAAATTGAATCAAAAGAAGCATCAGACAGTCCAGCAGGAGCTACATTATTTAGATCCTCTGAATGTTTCACAGACGGAAATTACCAATATTTGGCCTCCAGGTCAAAAATAAATAAGGGTTTAAAAAACAAATAAAACAAAAACAATTGTTCCTGAATTTTAGCCATCTGATATTTTCAAAAGAGACATCTAATATACACCAAAACAAAAATATCAACCGCTTAACAAAAACAGTCTTTTGTACCTGGATCCGGCAGCGACTCTGGAGCCGCTGCTGTTGAAGGTGACATGAGTGGCGTTGGTGGTGAAGCGTGTCAGGATGCCATCCGGGTCTCCGTCTGGAAACGTGTGGATCTGCACTGTGTTGTTTGAACTCGCCGTCACCAACTTTCCTTTCTGTTCGGACGACAAAACACCCAAACGCGTCACTATCAAACACCAAGGGTGAAGCGATGCAAACAAAGACCTAACAATTATAATCTGATGGAAAGCAGCAGACAGCACACCTTGAGTGCCAGGGAGTAGGCCTTTTCTCCAACAGTGATAAACTTTGGATCATCGTCATCCAGGCTTTCCCAAATCCGAACATCGCCATCATTTCCACATGTTACAATATACCTGTAAAAATGTAATGAATAATAAACTCTTTGTCAGATTTGGATAAAAACCAAAACAGAAAACATCTGAATAATGTGCATTCACCCCCCTTTACTCTGGTAGAACTAAATAAAATCCAGAGCAACTTGCTGCCTTCCAAATTCAATGTAAAAGGAGCTCTGCTCAGAAGAGAAAAACACCCTGAACACAGGATCTTAGAGGCAGCATCCTGCTGTAGGAAGGTTTCCCTTTAGAATGAAAAAGAAATTTAAAAAGAAATAATGGAAATATGCAACAAGCTAGGACCTGTACGAAGTAAATGGAAAAACTTAAATCTCTTGAAATGTAACCCTGTTTGGATTATCAGTGATATCTGATTGGAAGGGGCAAAATGTCTCTAGATATAAAATAATTCAATGAAAATGATAGGAGATGATACAGTTTCTGAGTTTTCTCAGTAAAATGTTGAAAACCATACATGCCTTGTCAGAGGTGTCAAGTAACAAAGTACAAATACTTTGTTACTGTAATCAAGTACACTGTTTAGGTATCTATACTTTACTCAATGACTTTCTATTCCTTACATTTTTAAAACAAACTTTACTCGTTACTCTTGGCTTCGGTTTAATGTTTATAAATATTTATTTCACGTCTTGTGCGCCATCCAATGCAGATCATTCCCACCATCCACATATAGTGAAAACTAGTTTAATTGGATGAGTCATATAACGCAAACACTCATTGGTTAGCTAAGGGAAAATCATTTTTCAGATGTTGAAATATCTGAAAGGAAACACAGGCGAGAGCGTATCAGGAGATGGAGACAGAGACCAACAAGACCTCCCTCATCCTTGGCCCTATCTCAAAGAATTTTTCAAAATAGTTGAATAATTGAGCTTTCAATTCATATAGTGGCATCTGGCTGTTACTTTATCCCCTTGAACCCTACGGACCCACCGGTGGGTCCAGCTGCTACGTGACCTCGTAATTTTACCAAACCCCCAGTATTGATGTAAAAAACACATTTGGCACAGTTTGGTGACATTTATGGATAAATGTGCCAAAATGGCCTCTCCGCCTAAGAAATTTCTCACTAATACCATTCTAAAATAAATATGATTCATCTGATTGAGTCCAAATTTGGTATATTTTTACACAACATTTAGATTTGAAAGTCTGTATTACTTTTTTTTGCTATAAATAATATTTTGGTAGTGTTTTGCAATGTTTATTTCAAAGAAAATTTTGGCGAGGTTCAAAAAATGCAAAATATTTTGTATTTTGTCCCTAATATTTCAGGCAGGGTCAAAGCTACAATGGGCCTGACACCAGAAAACCATTCTATGACATCTTACCTTTACAGAGGTACCAAAAGTTTCTTCTTAAATCTAATAGCTTTGAGGCTATAAGCGATTTACTTTTGTGTGTTTTTGTCAGGCAGAAATTTATTTATACCCCCTTAGGGTGTAAGAGGTTAAACTCTTATACTTTAGGTAGTTTTTGGAGCACATACTTTTTCATTTTAACTTGAGTAAAGAGGTCAAGTTGATACTTCAACTTTTACCAGAGTGTTTTTAAACTACAGAATCTATATACTTCTACTTAAGTAAAAAGTGTGTGTACTTCTGACACCACTGTGTCTTGTTTACCTTCAGTCAGGCAGTTTTTGTGATTACTTTGCAGGAAACTTAAACTAATGTCATGATCTCTGCTTCATTTAAAATGCTCTCAACATCCTATGTGTGTTTTTCATAACAGCTGCACTTAAAAGCCTTTTAACCTCAATACACATCCAGACCCTTTCATTACAATGAATTGGTCTCTTTCCTGTGGAGCTCTGCAGACTAAGGTATTGAAATGGGAACATCTAGCTGCTTTATCAGTGGTTTTAATTTTGTTGTGTTTGAACCAAAGGACAGACCAACCTTCCAGTGTCATCGAAGCAGACCTCGGTGTGTCCTTCCGAGTGGCCGTAGCGCATCGGCTTCCTTTCGCAGGGCATGTTTAAGAACACTGGACGGACAGAGTTAATTCACTAACATGAGTGAAGAGATACGGAAATAAATGACATATCTGGAACATTTCTGCACTACATTAATGAACGGTTATTACCTCTGGCAATGCTATTTATGAAAGAAGCTAACAGCAGCAAGAATAAACTGTACAGTTAAAACCTATTCAAAATGAGTGCTGAGATACAGAGAGAGCGTTTACGGCACTGGATGCTAAACTCTCATTATTTACTTTAATAACGTTATCGTTATTCTGACATTAAAAACGTTGTTTAAAACTTTAGAGAGCCGAACTACTCTTACCTTACTCCGTTAAACTCCCGCGCTGAGTTAAACAAGGAAGCTCTGCGTCACAACTCCCGCCAGCTACGTGACGACGTAGGGGGATAAACTCCTCCCACCGTTCAAAGGGTTCACGCAGCTTCAGAAAAACGTAAATCATTTTCTTTTTCGTTATTCATTCGGTTTTAACAGATTATTAATCTCTATTTCACAAATTACCTTACCGTCTTAAAAAAAAAAAAAGAAAAAAAAAACTTTTTTATTTATTTATTTATTTATTTTTTTTAACTCACTAAAAATATAAGCCTGACTCTGAATTCTACGGAAGATGATTAGGGCCACTGGCCCAAAAAAAAAAAAAAAAAAAAAAACTGATTTTTAAATATTATTTCAGTTTAATATGGGGAAAAAAATATATAAGAAAAAAGTCAGAATTCTGACTTTAATCTCAAATTCTGACTTTTTTTCTCAGAATTGTGACTTTAATCTCAGAATTGTGGATGTTAATGTAGGTGGACACCATGAAGGAAGAGATGTAGGAGCACTTAGCTTCACTGACAAAGATGTGAGTTGTTTGACAGGGCCAGTAACACATTGGTGAAAAATGACAGAATAAGGCGACTTTTTACATGCTCGAAGGGTCCCTGGTGATGCTATTTCATTAATGGAAAAGCAGAAGGTGATTAAAACAAGAGAGATAGTTTAGTCTCTAAAACAGACATAGCTACAGCTTGATGCTTACATGTCTGATAGCTGTCAGAATTCAGTCAAAATTTTCAGATTTAAGTCAGAATTCTGAGATTAAAGTCAGCATTTTGGGAAAAAAGTAGGAATTCTGAGATTAGAGTCCGAATTCTGACTTTTTTCTCATATTATACTGAAATAAATTTTAAAAATTAGTGCACTTTTTTCATTTTTTCAGTGGCCTTAATCCTCTTCCGTAGAAAGGCGATATAAGTTAAGCTATCAATATATTTTAAACTTTTTTTCTGTTGTTTTTCAGTGTGCTTTTAGTATTGACATCACATATACCTTCATAAGGCATACCTTGCATATGTTCAAAATAGTTAACCAGTAAATACTGAAATAATAAAATCAACATGGCATGGAAAAGACAGCTTATTAATTTAATAAATATGTATACATGTATTATAAATGTATTTGTAATAAGTTACAATGCAAACTAACTTTATTAATTAATCCATTTATGCAAGTTTTAATTAAATAAAATACATTTAAATGTGTTCTGTATTTGCAAATGTGGAGACTGCCATTGAAAAATTTAAAAAGAGTAACAATTGTCTTTACCAAAGTTTTCTTTTTTAATATCCTGCTCTATTGTATTAACATGTAATCATTACAAAAAAATCTCTTTTGCTCTAACTTTGATTTTTCAGCATCAAGCATACTTCTTAAAAATTCTTGTTCACTCTAGTTAGCTCTTGTCTGAAAACACTCCAGTTTGAGGGTGTGAGTAAAATTAATTGGTAAATTAAAATATCAAGGGAAAATCTTCATTTCCTGGTGTGGATTTTGAATTTATCTGATATGTAACAATAGTATTGGGCCAATAGTATTGGCCCAATACTATTGGCCCTAAAATCCAAAAGTTGATTTCCTTAATATAAGATGGCATTAATATTTCATGAAGTTTGAGGAAGATCAATACCTATGGCTCCTCAGTGTCTGTGAGCAAGAAATCCCCCCAAAAAGAAAGATTTTTTACTCATATACTTCTGTAAACAAAAACAATGGATTGCATGACAGAATATGTTTTTCTACTTCATACCCTTTTTCAATATATAAAACATAAATATGTCAATAATTATAGATTATATTTGTTTGTGTTAAATTCGTAATTATACTGTATTGTTTAATTGTATTGTGTAAATAAAGTTATTATTTTATTCAATCATACTTACACAGCCCAATTTTGCACACAGGCTTTCAAATGATTAAAAAAGACATTTTACTATCAAGCTAAACACCTTTATTCATATTTCTCTTTTAGATTTAAAAACGCCTATGCAAATTAAAACTGAAGAAGCATGGTTAAGTTATTGTTTTAGTTTAAAGATAATCTTTGTGCAACTGTAGCTTCACTGTTTGTATTAAATAATTTAGATAACTTTGTCTTTATTAGGACCTGATTGAATTATGAAAGCCTTTCTCTGCTTTTAAAGATTCTTCGGTTTCTGTCACAAGATTCAAAGACTTCAATGTAAAGGTGATTATAAAACAGTTCATATTTATCAATAACATTTTTATTTCATTGTGATTATTCTTTTTCGCATGATAATAAAAACAGCTGGACTTGTCCCAGATAAGGGATGAGTTAGAAATGGAAAATCAGTAGTAAATAGAGCACTACGTGGATTAAAATGTACAAAATAAGGAAAATTCTGACAGTAGTTGGATATTACTGACAAATCTGTTTTCCTAAAGTGAAGCCACTTCAGGTAATTTTTCTACTGAACTTGATAGTGAAAAGCTAAATGACTCATACATAGACAAAAAAAATCGAAATTCCACTAAAAACCCGTAACTTTCATGCCCTTATCTTTCAATTATCTATGGCATTTAGAGCCTCCTCTGTCTGTGATGAATTGCTTTTTGCTTCGTCTTTGCAGAGCACTACTTCAAAGTCATATTTTCCATATCATTAGCCTGTCTAAATATGATGCAATTGCAGCAGAAACAGAAACATGTTGTGAGTGAAGGGTTTATATGTTGCATAAACATTCCTCAGGTGAGAAAACAATATTAGAAAGTAGCAAAACTACGGAAACATCATTTATTGATTTGCTTATCAATGAATTTACAGCAATATGTACCAAAGGAGGTCGTCATTGCAGTTTACACACAATTAAAACTATGTATAAACTGCTTTTAGAGAATACCTTTCATTACATTGTGTCACAGTGTAGAAACAAACCCTTAAATTCTCATGTTACAGAAACCTTTGGCGCCATCTTGTGGTCAAATGAGAACACACCACTTGACTTCATGTCAGTTATGTCAAAAAAGATCATAACTCGTCCCTTATTATGAAATAATAGGGTCCAAACTCAGTCTCTTCAGTCTGTACGAGAAATTTGAACGGGTTTGGTTTGAAGCTTTTAATAAAAAGGTTAAACTTTCAACTATTTAACATTCTTGGAGCTGTTCATAGTAGAAGGTATGAGGAAAGGTGCAGTTAGAATAAGGCATGTGTGATTTGGGGGATGCTACAAAACTAAAAATCAGAAACAATCATTTATAAAATTATTCGTACACAATGATGTTTTCCAAAATTTTACACATTAAAATCATGCAAAAAAATAAACAGAAAAAAGAGCAAACAATTTTCCACTGAAAAGAAAAGGACACATGGTTCTCACTTTTTTTTTGTTAAACAACTAAAATATTAACTTTTACTTTTAATTACAGTGTAATTTAGTTTTGGGATATGTCTGTTTTACCGTTGTACATCCAGAAAACTTTGTCCATTCATCTTTGCAAAAAAAACAAAACAGAATCTACATTAGACCCAAATTTGAATAACAAGTCTAGATTTTCCTCTGATTTTCCTCTCTGAAAAGGTATTTTTGTTTTATTTGGCAGCCATATTTTTCTGCCCTGATATCACTTTATTAAATATGGCTAAAAACATGAAGGGCTCTGTGATGAGAGTTCTCAGCTGTTTTTTTTTTTTTTTTTTTGCTATCAACAGACTAAAACTTTTTGTAGCTTCCCAAAATATGAATTATTTCAACCAAAAAGTAATGAAACTGTTGACTTTTTTTATTAGGTGAAACCTTTTAAACCTGATTTTGGATAATAGTTTGTTCTTATTGAGTTTCTTTTATAAAACATTTCAAATTTTTAAAAATAAAAAGAGAGAATTTACAGAAAAATCATTATTTTTTTTATTAAAAAACAGCAACAATACATTGCTACAAAGTTTTTTCAACTTGGGAATTTTGGCCAATGGTGCAAAAAATAGTGACATCACACCTACTCATCACCTTGAGAGTCTGGTCCTGCAGGTTTTAATATGGTCTGAGACGGATAACATACACCTGAAGCTAAAGACAGGCCTATAATGAGTCATCCATGTGATCAGACCAGGATGGATTTAAAACATAGATATGCAGACAACAGCTCATGACTGAGGTTGCCCACCTCTGATCTCTATTGCTGCTCCTAGTGGAGGTTTAATATTGATGTTATGTCTGAAGGAAGTCTGCCCCACAGCCTTAAGTTTCTTCAGCCTCTTTAGTTCCTTAATATCTGTCCTTTCTGCCCCCTCCCCACAACATGATGCTGTCACCATCATGTTTCACCATGATCAGTGTACAGTGTCAGTTTACTGTAACATTTACCATTTTGCAGGCAAGCCAATAACTTTAAGATTTATGGTCCTGAACAGAGCTTCTACCTCATGTTTACCTTTGTTAAACCTTCCACAAGACTTCTTGTTGTTTACTTTAGATATGGACTCTCAGCTTGGCACTCACCGATACTCTATATTTGTAAAGATCTTGACTAACACAATTTCTGACTACAGTTTTTCCAAACTGAGCTATGGGTTCCTGCAGCTTTACTAGACCTACCATCTCTGCTCCTTTCCTGACCTGCAGTTTTTGGTGGACGGTTATGTTTTGGTGAATGTCTGTGACGTCTTTACAGAGCAGCTGATCTAAAGTTAACCTTCATATTCAATTTAGAGGTTCAAGAGTAGAGGGGGCTAAAACATGTATACGGCACTTTTAAGATTTCTTTGGTAAGACAATGCTTTTAAAAAAAGTTTATTGTCTGTTTTCCTTTACATATAATACATGTTTTTGTTTTGCCCTATCGAGGGAAGTCAGATGTTTCGAAGTTTGTGGTTGTAAAATGACAATATGTTTAACAGTTAACAAGTTAGGAACACTTTTGTAATTCTCTAAAGTCTATTAAAGTGGCTTTCTCTTGGTTTTATTTACAGAATCAAAGTTAATTCAGCATATTATATCAGCTGTACAGTAGTTTTTTCATTAGCAAAGTGACATTATAGAACCTTGCTTAGTTGGAAATGGTGATAGAAGGTCCAAAATGTCCCTCAGAACTGAGATCTGTAAGAAAGTGTCAGTGTAGATCCTGCATCCCAGCTGCTGTGGGTGTAGACACTGCACAGGCCCTGTCACACTTAATGTGATACTGTCTGAGGTACTCCCTAAGCTGAGGCGGCAGCGGCAGGCTCTCTACGCCCTGGTAGGTAGTGCAGCTGCAGATCACTGCCCTGCACAGGTGCTGGAGAGGGAAGGGGAAGGTCCTTGGCAGTGGTCTGGAGAGCAGGGGCTCGAAGAAGAGGCAGGTAGCTGGGTCGCTGTAGTGCCTCAGCAGACCCGTCACGCTGGGATCCCTGTACATGCAAGGGTCACGCACGTCAAAGCTGAAACGCTTGCCGTTCTGCTCAATGCGTGCATGCAGGGAGCGACTGTAGCGACGAAAGCTGACTGAGAAAAGGAACTCATCTTGGGCCGAGTCCCTGAGCAGAAACGTCCCCTCAGGTTGGCCCTCCAGAAGCTCCTCGGCCTCGAAGCGGTTTAACACCCCCCAGTAGCATGGGTTGTTGTTGATCTGGAGGAGATCAGGGACCAGGATGTAGTCAGTGTTGCTACAGGTCCCATCTGCACCCCTATGGTGAGAGGAAGGATCCCAGTCCTCCAGAGGGGCACCGCCTGGCCCAGGGGAGCAGCAGATGTCCTCCCAGGAGAGGGGTGTTTGTGGTGGGGAGGTGGAAGATGAAATGCTGGACGCTTTTAGAGGAGTCTCCATGTCTTTCAGAGAACTTGGATGAGCTACCTGGTTTTTAATAAGATGCCAACATTTTGCCAATTCAGACTTAGGAGAGAATGGGCATTTCTCCTGCATGAGTTCTGAGACATGGATCTTTCTTTTGGACCAGAAGAGCACAGAAAAGGGGCGTGAGGAGCCTCCAGCATGGTGGTAGTGGTGATGGTGATGATGGTGGGAGCGCAGGGGAAAACACTGACCCACAGCATCCTGAAACTTCTGCCGGAGAGACCGCCGGGACAGGGCCTTCCTACACACCCCATCGATGTCTCCAACCGTCAGTGCATCCCCAAGAGCACTGCAGCTGCACTTCCTCTCTCTGCGCCTCCTCGAACAGGATGTGGAGCGCACGCCCAGTTCCTCCGAACTGTCCGTCTCCATTCCACTGGGACTAGAACCGTTCCTAGAGCTCCGGGAGCGCTTCTTCCCTCGCCAGATGTAACTGTCTGCGCTCCAGCTGCGGAGGCCAGATTTGGGACGCGTGTCTGCTCCCCGTGGCTTCTTCTCTGACATGCCTGCTTTCTCTTCTTGCTCTGTAAAACATCAGAACATACAAGAGTTTACAGCCACTCACTTTGCCTGTAAAATAAACACAACAATCTGTATTACCCAATATAAATGTCTTAACAATCCAATTTCTCTCAGCTATTCTTCAAAATAGTAAGACAGGAAGCCATGCCATTTAATTCAGTTAACTGTCAATTACTGCTGCATAATTAGAAAATGGATCACAAAATGCTTCTGTGAAAAGTCCCAAAAGACTGACCAATAACTGAAACTCATTTTGACAGCATTAAACAGATCAGTAAGAAAGAGGAAACAAAACCGCATCCATATCTCATAGTTTGAAAACAGCAGCAATGTGTGGCTTATATTGGTCCCAAATTCCTGATGACAATCTTTAGGTGATGTGTCCATGCTAACTAATTATTTTTGATGGATACCAGAAGAAATGTTACCTGTCCAACCATTATAAGCACTAATATGGAGAACCTACTCAATTCTAAAGGGATTTTAACAGTTCCTTAAATAAAAGACACAATAAAGCAGAACTGCAGTTACTCTAATACAATAGTTTGATTTAAAAACAAAAAAACAGCAATGCTAAGGCTGAATTAAGCAACTGTTAACACAAAAACTGCTTATGAAACTTGTTTGCAGTGTATCTATTTTTTTTTTATCCCTGAGTGATATTAGCATCATAGCATGTGACACTTTAGGGCTTTAGGAGGCTTCAATTGTGTTCTTTAAGTTTTTAGAGTAACCTACCTAAAAGCACAACCAGCACAATTTTTAGTTTATAAAAATAGATTTTAAAAAATTGCTGCAACAACTATGTAGCATAAAAGAGAAAAAAAAATATTAAAGTATCAGTCAGTTTTGGGTTTAATATAAGCTTTTCAGCAACACAGGACAAGATTTAAAGCAAAGAAACTAAAGACTTTTCTGAAAATCTGTTTAAATAAATCTTTCTATGTGACTTTTAGCCTTGAAAGGAGGAGCTCAGATCTGAAGATTTAGATGCTAAGGGGAGCTTTTCAAGGGTCTCAGTCGCAAAAAGGTGGATGCTGTCTTCAGTTCAGAGGTAAGACTTTGCCCCTTGCAGATAAGTTAAAGGAACCTAAACTAAAACGTATACTACAGAATCAATCTAAATTTCCTGAAATGTGAAAGGTGAAAAGAAAAAGTGCAGCTTTTGGCTGAAAGGAGTTCCTCAAGTCGCCTGGCTGGACTCAGTCTTTGTGATGATGCAAGAACCTCTGTTATGCAAAGGGAGCCCAGAATAGATATTTTTTTGTTTATCTTTTTCAAGTTAAAAACCCACACCCAGGCATTTCTATTGTCTACTCTGCAGAATCAGGAGGTCACTTAGATAAAACTTTGATAAAACTTGACAAAATAAGGCAGGCTAAAATATCTAGAGAGCAACAGATTATGCCCTGAAATAAAGGTGTTCAACATCAGATGAGAAACAAAGTAACTGACATCTTTTAGTCCTAACAGGGTTATAGAATCTTTGTAAGCAACTCTAGCAAACCAAAGTAGGAGACATAATTAATATGGAAACGATACGGCACAGTGGGAATCTTCGGCGGAGTGACTTAACTACATGAAAACTCAATGGGCACATGTAGAGCTCATGTAAAAGCCAAAGAAGTCGGAGGAGCATCTTAACAGTCCAAAAACTGCTGGGAAAAAAAAAGATTTTGTACATTCATCCGAAAAACTGCATCGGTCACACCAACAGCAAGTGACATAGTATCATGCTTTATGCTGCTTTGCTGCTTTCAGCCATCAATCGTGGAGGACATTGTTGATCCATTAGTCTTTACCTTAAGCTCAATAGCAGGTAAATTCTGCAGCAAACCAGTGATCCAAAACACACTACCAGGTCCAAATCTAGATAGCTAAAATAAAAAAAGTGCAGATTTAGAGGGATTCTACTTAAAGCCTGGCCTTAAACAGTCTATGATTTTAAATAGGCAGTTTATTCATGACTGGAAGCACTTCAGTTATGACCATCTAAGCAAATCTTCATAGAAAATTTTTGTTTTATGCATTTTCCAGTTATGGCAAAAACTTTTAAGCAACTATTTCCATCAATGGCAGATAAATCAGCTAATTTTAAAGGCCATTGCCATGTGCTACAGGCAGCTCAGTTTGGATAGCTTTTTATATTAATAAATAAAACCATGATTTTAAAGCGGTTTATTTTTTTTTCTTTTGCTCATATCTTTATAAAATAAAAGAAGTTGGTGTTTAAAACCTTCAAAAAACCAAAAACAGAAGAAATCTCAAACAGCTAAAGACTTTTTATGGTATTAGTGTCTTAAGATTAACATCATGCACTCAGTCTAACTTAATTCTTTCTGTTTCCTTCCACTCTTAACAAATCAAATTACATAGCAAAAATACAAAAAAAGACTAAAGTTGTTTTATAACTTATTTTGAAATGCTGAATTAAAAAAAAGAGAGGATTTAATCCCAAGTAGTTGATGCATTTTTAAAAGATTAATCCAAGATGTTATCTTACCTCCTAAAGAGTTTTAGAAACAGAGGTCCACATCCATGGTATCAGCAGCTGTTCATGGTGAGCAGTCCTCAGCCTTGCTGCCCTCTAACAGACGGCAGACTGCTCTGCTTCCTATATAATTATAATGCCAAGTCCCCGGAGGGAGCAGCAGTTTCCTCTTCAGCAGTCTGGATGAATGGAGTGAAGGTGGAGTGAGGTCGAATGGGCAGAGAGGGACGGGTGGATGGGGGTGGGGGTGAGAGGAGGGAGGAGTGGTGTCAGGTTAATGGGAGAGAAGCATCCTCCACTCAGCCTTACATCCACATTTGCACACTTATCGACAAAAAAATTGAAATTATGATAAAAGACAAGCAGAGCAACCAGAAAGTGTTTCTTTTCTTGCTGAAAGTGAATTATTTCTGCTTGTTTGAGTCTTTTCAACTTCATTAGAGCTTAAATCATCAAAGTGCATTTCTTGAGGATCTTTAAATCTGTTTAACCGTGTCTGCGGAGGATGCTTTGCAGCAAAACAGATTGATTTTGAAGATTAACGGTGGGTTCTTGCTGTGGACTGACTCAAATTAACGATTGAACCCAGCACAGGAAACGGCAAAGCTTTGATTATTGACCCGAACGACCTTCCAGTCTCTTCCAGTTTGAACTTCCAGCAAGTGCTGCTGAAAAAGCCATCCGTCAACATGAGGTCATGGATGCACTCCTTTGAGCTCTGTGAATTTTGGAGGATGTATAATTCATGATTCATATCAGACAAATAATATTACTCCCAGTGGTTTTTGGGCTGTTCTTGGATCCCCTTCAATGAGCTCCTTCAGCTGAAGCAGATAAAGTGTAGCCATCGATAAATTCCTGGCATCAAACAAGATGTAGTGACACTCAGCTTCCTCTTAGCTGAATATTTAATGCCATTCACATTATCACTCTGCCTGACAGAATGATGAATGCCACTTACTTTGGAGAAGACGCAAATCAATTTATTTGGCTGCGAACTCTTGGGACCTGTTTAACATAAAGTGAAAACTCCTAAAAGGAGGAAGCAAAATAAGTTGCGCACAAATAAACAGCTAAAGTTTAGATCACCACCAGAGAATTAAGTTAGTGAAACAAAATGGTTTTATTTCTCAAAACTGCTCAGGAAGTAGGGGTTCAAACTTATGATGATTTGAAAAAGGGTTGTGCTCACTAAAGCAAAGATGATGCAATAATGTTCACAAGCAAGTCGACCTTGTCTACTTTATTGCACCTTGAAATTCTGTCCATAAAAATAGCTAAATTATGCAACTAAAGTTTAAAACAAAAAGTAAGCAAGAAGAAAAGTATTGACAAAACATTGTGCTGAAAAGGGTGGTGTACGGATAAGCAGGAAATGGGATTTGATTGGATGATAATGCTTATATTTTATTTATTTTAAGGAATAAGATGAAGTAATTGACTTTGCAGGATCCCCTTATCCTGAACAAGCACTTGGTGACAGTGGGATGAAGCCTCTTAGATTTAACAGGATGAAAAATTCATTAAAGCATAGTAATATAGAATCAATTAATCTGAAAAAAAGACAGCGGTAATAAAAAAATAAAAAAATAAATACAATGGTATTAAAGTCAGCAGTAGATTAAACATGTAAACATGTAAAATGTATGTACCTTATATCAAAAAGACAGCATAGAATGAATAGCAACAATACCTCCAATAAGGACTTTGGCCAAATAAAAAAACTAAATAGCGCTACCCTTGGAGTACTTTGTAGAGGCCAATAAAATGAGATGATCAAAGCTAATTTCAAGTAGTGCCTGAGACTATTAATTAACATTAATAAAGTCTGAATCCAGCTGATAAAAATACAATTTTGCGACTTGTTTAATTTGCTCTCAGTAGTATAGGCATTAGTCAAACCTTCCATCAGCTGGTAACTCTTGACCTTTGTATTAGCAAAAGATGAAAAATAAAGATGCATTGATTTTCCTTTAGACTTCTCTTGTTTGTTATGCCTTGTTTGAAGTGTGTAAAGAGGGTGTGGCGCAGCGTTTTGTTCAGCAAGCGCCTCCAACATTGGATAAAATCATGATGGCCCCATTAACCTGCTGCAGCAAGGACCGTATCAGTTCACAACACAGAAGGCATTGATCCTTGAACAACATAGTCTGCAGGAGCACTTATAAATAATTGATTCAGTTATGAAAGACCAGAGATTCTGGGCTGATTATATTTTTATACATTAGAATATGAAAAAAAAAAACTTTAATGTATTTCTACTCAGTCAAGATATATTAAATCCTGTTTCATGTTTTTATGGAACTAGAGATGTTATAAACTTTTAGCATTTGAAAGGTGCCAAAATAAATACAATCGCAACTACCATTATTAAAGTACATGATCTGGTTAGAGGAAATTCTGCAAATAAAAATGTTTTCAAGAAAATGATGTGTACCTCACTTGCTGGTATTCTTGTTTATACTGTAATTTACAAATACTTTTGCTGATCTGTTTCCAGCAGGACAGACTTTGTCTTTCTAACACAAAAAAAAAATAATGAAGGAATTTAGAAACCATTCCTCTTTCCACCATCTCTCTAAAACCTCTTTGTATACATTGGAAGAAGGTTGATTTTGAATCAGATTAAACCTTTTTTGTGTTAACTTGGTCCAATGTTTTGGGACATTATCAGATTTCTGGGCTGCATTAATCAATATAAACTGTCCCAAAGTTTTGAAGGATTTGTGATGCCATAGGAGAACTAACTCTTTCCATGACCTTTGGAATAGAAAAAGGCCCACAGAACTACAGATCCATCATTATGCTCAACAATGAGCAGGATGAGTTTTTGCATGCATCTGTTGTTATAGAGAAATGTCCAAATGTTTTTCATATAATGAAATTTTCTAGTTGAAAGTAGTTTAGGCAACAAAAAGTAATAACAGAAAATGTAAAAATATTTGTTCCGTACCCTTTTTTACTGTTTCCTGCTCCACAATTAGCTACAGCCACAATGTTTTAAGAAGTAAGGTAATCTGAATTTTCGAGAAGTTACATTTCGTAACAGCTTTTGAATATAAATAAAAGCAAAACTTTTCTTTTTAGACAAACTTGTGTATCTAAGGACTAAAAGGTGCTTAATCTTCATCCATCATAACATAATATTTGCCCCATTATGAGAGTGTACGGCGTTTGTGTGCATACTGTCAGTGCATTGGATCATATGAATTATAGAGACCGTAAATTGAATCAGCAGCGAGTCTGTGTGGCTCCACTGGTCTCTGCTGTTTCCATTGATCTGTATCAGAAGACTGTATTGAATAGCAGTAACTGCACTGCTTCCTTTAAAAACGCATTGTGGATTTTAAATCGCTGTTGCCCTGTTTGTGGGACAGAAATGACATGACAACTGATGTTTTAGGTACCCATACACATGCTACCTAATTTGATGCCACTGTATGAGACGCCAAGTAACCATATAAAAACACTATTCTAAACTAGTATGGCTGTCTGATGCATCCGCAAGGAGAAGAAATGAAAATGGTTAAGAATAAAAACCAATAAAATCTTTTGATTCTGTCTCACTGCTCCTTTTTAACTAAGTTCATCAGCTCCACCTGCACCTCTGCTGTCAGCAGTTGCAACCAGCTTATTCTGTGCACCTGTTCTGCTGCCTTTAAATGCAGCTCTCTGGCAGACAGACTCTGCCAGATTATTTCTAAGCCCTTTGAATAAAGGTCTAGTGTCTTTCCTGCCTGATCAAAACTCTGTTTCTGCCTCCTTTATAACCCTGTTCTGTCTTGCTCCTGGTGGATCTCTCATCTGCTTTTGGTTTCTGGTCCAAAACTCTGTTTTTGTGCCCTGGTTTCTGCATAATGCTATTTCCCTTTATTGGACTGATGATTACCTCTGTTCTGACTCCCTCCCAACTGCATGGTTACAGTTTGTGGATCTTCCTTGTGGTTATTGCATCTGACTCTGCCTCTCTGGGTCTGAGCCTCTTCTGCCTCTGGACTATTGATCCATACCAGCCCCTTGTTAAAACCTGCTAGTATGGAAATCTCTTCTTATTCCCAAACGATTATAAATTATTTCATTTCTTTGACTTTTTGCAAACAAAAACAATTAAATAAATAAAATAATTGGTATTTTATATGGTGTGAGTACATATAGTGGGACAAGATTAAAATGTTTAATCAAGTTTATTAAAGGGTCTGTAATGAATTAATCAAAATGAATCACATTTTTATTGAAAATCATATAATTGACCAAATAAATAATCCTTTTGATAAAAAAAAAACTCTTTTTCTCGTCACTGTTGAATAAATGATTATATAAGCACAACAACCCATATTGTTTTAAATCCACCTTTTTGGGTTATTTAGGTTATAACCATCGGATTGTTTAAAAGTTATAATATTTTAGCTGATATTTTACACATTTTCTGTGAAAAACTACTCCCATAGAAGTCTTATTCAGTGCATGAACATCAGTTCTGCAGCGAGGTGTACTTACTGAATACCTCAAATTGTTATGGATATGTAAACTAAGGCGGAAGTGTGTCAATAGACTATATATGCCACTATAAGTGCTATATATGCAAACAATGCTGGCAGTTAGGAAGGTCCAAGGACCAGGAAAATGAAATATTTGTGTTAGAAGCTGGCTTAATGGGAAAAAAGTAGCTCCAGTGGCCTAAATGCTGCACATTAATCAGCAATTAAGTTCCTAAAGGTGGAATTTTATTCAGAGCTGAACTGTCATAGTTCTGTCAGTATTAGAAATGAAACTTTATTGTTTACAGACAATATTGTCTGACTTGTTGCTATATATATTTTTGTACCATATTTGGTGGAAGGAATTGTTCTATAACTCGTATTTGGTTGGAGCCATGAAGGTCTTTAAGCATGAATATCCCCAGTGGAATTACACCTGTGATTTAGCTTTGGTATCAGATTTACGGATGTAGAAAAAACAGTGAGTGCAGAGGTTCCTGCTTGGGAAATGAGAAAATGCAATTAAATCTGTTAATGTTAATGTTTTTTTTAAATGTTTTTGAAATTGACGGGTTAATATCCAAGCCCTAGAATTTTTATATTGTATAACAGCACAAATTTGCTTAACTGTGAAATAAACATCATGTTTTCTTTATTGAGAACATCGAAAACAACA